AGGAGATGCACGCTGCTGTTGGAGACGAGGATGCGTCCGAGAAGGACGAAGAAGATGACTTCCTTGTCGCTAAATCCAAGCCCGAGTCTTTCCCCGAAGCCAAGACTGATGCAAACCTGGACGTTGAGAATGCGGACAAGGATCCAGAGACGTTCTTGTCAAACTTCCTGTCAGCAAGGGCATGGATTCCGGCCGGCAGATCGGAACTGCAGCCATTTGAGTCCGACGATGAGGAAGAGGACGAGCGGGCGGAAGCATTCGAGGAGGCATACAATTTCCGCTTTGAGGATCCCAGCAAGTTGAATGCTACTCTTATGACGCATTCTCGTGACGCTACCAACCAGCAGTCTGTCCGCAGAGAGGAAAAGAGCATGAGAAAGAAGCGCAGAGATGCGGAGCGAGAGCAGAAAGAGCAGGAAAAGAAACAGCGTGAGATCGAAAAGAACCGACTTCGCAAGCTGAAGATGGAAGAACTGCAGGAGAAGGTTGAGAAGATCAAGGAAGTTGCCGGTATCCATGGAACTGAGATGACGGATGAAGATTGGGTCCGCTTCTTGGACGATGCTTGGGATGACAAGGATTGGGAGGCCGAAATGCAGAAACGGTTCGGCGAGGACTACTATGCCGAAACTGGCCCCGATGGCAAGAAGCACCCCAAGAAGCCCACATGGGACGATGACATCGATATCAAGGATCTCGTGCCAGACTTCGATGATGAGGAAGAGGAGCCCGTTGTGGCCGATTCGGACGTCGAAATGGCGGACGAGCAGGAGGGGGAGAAGAAGAAGAGCAAGGCACAGGAGAGGAGAGATCAAAAGCGCGAATCCCGCAAAGATCGCATGCGTATCGAGGAAGCCGTGGACCGCAATCTGGATCTCGATATCAGCTTGCTTCCTGGAGCTACCAAGAAGAACGCAACTGGATTCCGTTACCGCGAGACCTCGCCTCAAAGCTTTGGGCTTACTTCTCGGGATATTCTCATGGCTGACGACAACCAACTCAACCAGTTTGCTGGCCTGAAGAAACTTGCGTCATTCCGTGACCCGGAGAAGAAGTACAAGGACCAAAGGAAGTTGGGCAAGAAAGCCCGCCTTAGGCAATGGCGCAAGGACACCTTCGGTGATGAAGAAGGCCCCAAAATCTCCGATGAGGCTCCCAAGGCCCCTACGGCAGACCAGGAAGATGTGGGCAAGGTTGACATCCGCGATGGTGAGCCCAGGAAGAAGAAGAGAAAGAGGTCGAAGAAGCACTAAGTGCTTTAACCGATCTACAGTCTTGAGCATGTATGTCATTACAAGATCGTTGTCTTGTCTTGAATGGTTTCAGTTCAGAAAAGTTCTTAGCGATACATCCGTGTTTTGATAGATTTTAGATGCAAGATATACCTACTTCGTTGCATATGGCTGTAAACACTGGACAAGCTTCAAGGTGGTCTGTATGGTCTAGTTACCGTTTTACTCAGCTAGGGTTTCAACAAGGGATTGAATGCACAGTTGAAGATGCCTGCAAAGGAGTGTATGTATACGAGATCTCGAGCGCTTGGGACGATGAAGATTAAGCCCTTTAATGTACCTGGCTGAGTGTGTGATTAAACTTCTTTAGGTGAGTCCTGTACATCGACTTCCTAGCCTGGGCTAGGTTATCATCCCAACGCCGCAGACTCTCAGGCCCTGTGGGCCCCTGTGTGACGGCACAATCTGGTCCTCTGAAGTGTCCTGTAGAAGAGGCGAAAAAGTGGATCTCATCATGGCGACAGAGCAGAGGCTCTAGTATTCATTAATGTGGACCCAACTGGACATTGTTTTCTTCTTTTTTAAACTTCGTAGTTGAACCCGTGTCGTTTCTAGGCGCATGGGGAGGCAGCGATAAGCAACCCTACGGGGGACTATTTGATACGCGACGGATCCGGAAGGCTCTCCACAAACTTCTCTGAAATAAGGATGAAAAAGACGCACTATTAGTACGTATAACCTGAATAAGGACCAAACAGTTGACAATCTAGATACTCGATACCGATGTAAATCTGCCCCAGGTCTTAGAGGTTAGAACCTATTAGCACCTCCGCATTACCGAGTGAGAAGACTTCAAAAGGTTCTCATTATTCACTCCCGTGCCTCTGGCGGGCTGGCCCAACTTCTCCGAGCCTTAGTATCCTCCGGACGGAGCGAATGACGGGGGAAACGCGGGATGACAGCCGAAAGTCGGTGCACGCGCTTAAATGGAAAGTATACAAATCAGACCTCTACGTATAGATAATTAACGACGAAGCTGTAGGACCAAGGGGAGGTCAGATTTTTCTCCTTGGCCCGAGCTACAACAAGTTTTTTCCGGGAACCAGAATCCAGAGAAGGGAATTCGCCATCGGGTACGGATGCTCGGGAGGAGTTGGAGAAAGGGATATGCGTCTCGATTGTTGTTAGTTATGCGGCGGCGGCGGCTGCTACTGCTGCTACTGCTGCTGCTGCACGCGGACAAAAGTTGGTTCGGTGAAGACGGGCGGAATTGCTGACGAGGCACTAAGGCAGCAAATGACCGGTCTTCTTTGTTATTATTATGATGAGGAATATTGTTGTTTTGGGGGCGCCGAGGGTCCCGATATGGAATCTCCAACTGGGGCTATAGGCATTGACCTCCTACAGGACAAATTGCATGTCTTCATAAGATCATGTTTTTGGTAGTGGACAAGTCCAAATCCAACTGAGTACTGAATACGGAGTAGTTAGAATTTGATGAAATTAATTTGATACATGTCGAGTCGAGTACGGAGTACGTAGGGACGATTGCTTCTGCTCCATAAATAACTCAACCGTGAGAAATTTCCCTCTTTTCCCTCTTTTCCTTCTTTCCATATCAGCGGTCGGGACGGTTACTGGCGCGATCGGGAGATATCGGCTCTGGTTGCCTGGGCCAGCATTAGCGCCGGACCCAGTTTTTTTTTCACTTTTTCTGAATTTTTTTTCGCCTTGGTGGCCGGTAGACCCGCCGCCTCCTTTCCTCCCTCCCTCCCTTTTCTCCCTTTTCCCCTACAATGAGAAAACTCCCTACTCCGGACCGGCACCCAGATAGCCTGCTCAAAGTGGATTAGTGTGGCCGCTGTTCGCCGCCGCTGCCATTGCATTGACTGCACATTCAGGCCAGCGAAACAAATTTCCCTTTCTCCCTCCCCCCCCAAGAGAGTCCTAGCGCCTCCGCTCGCTTCTTCCCGCTTACAAGAGCCCTCCGTTCGCTATTTTTTCTCCCTTCCCTTCCCTTCTTCTTTCTTTTCTTTCCCCCATCCCCCCGTGAAGTGTCCTGTTTGTCTGGCACTATCTCTCTCCTCTCTTTTTTTTGTTTAGTTTTCGTTTCTCACAGCCGTAAAAATGGCCAACGGTGACGTTAACCAGGCCGACAAGTCGGTCTTCGGCATGCCCGTAAGTTGCTACCTATCCCTTCAACCGACAGTCGACCAGTTCTTTCGCATCACGCGCCATTGAATCTTCAACTCGAAACGGCATTGAGAGGCCCGAGATGGGCTTGGATAGTGTCAAATGAGTCGGGGGATCGAAATGCTGGTCGATCTGCTTCGTTGTCGATCGATTACAATGCTAATAAAAATTTTCACAGGGCTTCGTCGTCGACTTCATGAGTATGTGAAATCCTAGACTCCGTGGATCGATCGCCACCCAACGATCGATCTTCCATCCATCAATCAACGACACCACATTATCGACTGCTATCTATGGATCAATGATACTAACTACTGTTCACAGTGGGTGGTGTTTCCGCTGCTGTCTCCAAGACTGCTGCTGCCCCCATCGAGCGTATCAAGCTCCTCATCCAGAACCAGGATGAGATGCTCCGCGCTGGTCGTCTCGACCGCAAGTACAACGGTATCGCCGACTGCTTCCGTCGTACTGCTGCCGCTGAGGGTGTTGTCTCTCTCTGGAGAGGTAACACTGCCAACGTCATCCGTTACTTCCCTACCCAGGCCCTCAACTTCGCTTTCCGTGACACCTACAAGTCCATGTTCGCCTACAAGAAGGAGCGTGATGGATACGCCAAGTGGATGATGGGTAACCTTGCCTCCGGTGGTGTATGTATTCCCGATCTACGACAGCGTTTTGAGGACGGACCGTCGCTAACCAGATGAACAGGCTGCTGGTGCCACTTCCCTCCTCTTCGTTTACTCTCTGGATTACGCCCGTACCCGTCTCGCCAACGACGCCAAGTCTGCCAAGGGCAACGGTGAGCGTCAGTTCAACGGTCTCGTCGACGTCTACAAGAAGACCCTCGCTTCCGACGGTATTGCCGGTCTCTACCGTGGTTTCGGTCCCTCTGTTGCTGGTATTGTTGTCTACCGTGGTCTGTACTTCGGCATGTACGACTCCATCAAGCCCGTTGTTCTCGTTGGTCCTCTCGAGGGTAACTTCCTTGCTTCCTTCCTTCTCGGCTGGACTGTCACCACTGGTGCTGGTATCGCCTCTTACCCTCTTGACACCGTTCGTCGTCGTATGATGATGACCTCCGGTGAGGCCGTCAAGTACAAGTCCTCCGCCGATGCTTTCCGCCAGATTGTCGCCCGTGAGGGTGTCAAGTCCCTCTTCAAGGGTGCTGGTGCTAACATCCTCCGTGGTGTTGCTGGTGCTGGTGTCCTGTCCATCTACGACCAGGTTCAGCTCCTGCTCTTCGGAAAGAAGTACAAGGGTGGCTCTGGCTAAACGCATTGACTAAAATGGTCAAACCTGTTTGAGTCGGTGTGAATCCTTCTGGGGAAGGGGTTGGCCAGTCCTCTGGTGTAACTACCAGATGCTGGACGATACTGGGGAGGATAGAAATATGCCTCAAGAATGACACGTTTGTCTTGGGCATAAAGAAGTGTGTCATTTCCTCTTGTACCAGTTGTATTTTACTGCCTGCAAAGCTTTTCTTTTTCTTTCCAATATCTCCTCGTAGATTTGCCTCCGTAGTCTTTTGTCTGGTAGAATTTTCCGAACCCGGTCACCTGATGAGTGTCACGTGCACCCGGGTGGTGCAGTGACGTCGGCCTCTGCTGGAGCTGAGAGCAGTTCCTCCCAACACCTCGACTTACAACTTCAAGAGCTGGATCGCATCCGCAATGGACAACAAATCTTCAATCTTCGACGGGGATCCCCCTAGCAACGCTTCATCCCCAGAGCCGAAACCAGAAGAACGTGTCATTGGCAGTTCATCGCAACCTCCCACCGCAGCTACCTCAACTGCACCACCATACTCACCCATCTACGCCACCGCGCAACCCGACGATATACCTTCCCTGCCCGTGCAAACGCCTGCGCCTGCGCCGACAGCAGCTCCATCCTCAGCATACACCCCAACACCAACCACCATGGGCGACGCCACAATCCCAAGCTCGAGCATCACAACCACGACCACCTCTCCCCCACCCCCACAGCCTGGAGCTCACCCGGTCCCAGCTCCTACCAGCTCAGCTTCCGCTCCAGGATCATCTATACCTCCATCCCCAAAAGCAGGCGAGATCCCCAGTCCTTCCGCCACAGCAGCAGCAGCAGCAGCAGCAGCAGCACAACAAGTACCACCACCACAGACAACCGCAGCACCCGAACCCACAGCAGCAGCAATAACAGCCATAACCCCATCAACAACAACGATCCCGCCCTCCCCCCTCCAACCACAGCACCACCACCAACAGCAGCAACAACACCAACACCAATACACCCCCACAACCCAACACCAGTACAACCACCCCGTCTCCGTCCCCAACGCAACAACAACCCCCTACCCCTCCCTCTACCAACCCCCGACCAGCGCCACCCTCCCAGCCACCACAACCTCCCAACCGACGACCTCCCAGCTGCCCTTGCACTACGACCCCGGCGTGTCGGGGCGGGTGGACCTCGACGAGGCCGAGGGGGGCATCGTGGCGAACGCCAAGTCGTGGCTCCGCAGTGCGGGGACCAAGTTGGCCGAGGTGGAGGCCGAGGTGTGGAAGAAGATTAATGATGTGCATGATAAGTGAACCTCTCTTTTTCATCAGAGATGGATAGTGAAGGGGGGGGCTGTCCGGGGGGCGAAGGGATATGTGTTTATCGGATGGGATTGAGGTTGGGGTTTGAATGGTGGACCGTGTCTTGTTGTGTTCGGCTCCGGGGAAGGAGTTTTGGTCTCTTGTATGTTGTTTCGGGGTGTTTCGGGTGATTGAAGTGGGTTTTTGTTCGTGTCGTTCAATGAGGGTTAGTAGGGCTAAAAGTGAGGATCTGGGTATCGAGGGGTGTCTTTTCCTTACATGCGGGCGGAGGCTGGGGTAAAGCACTTGGTTTAGGTTGTATATGTGACAGCTTGTTTGATATGTGGACTACTGGTTACTGTAACAAATCGATATCAAATCCCCTTGACCTGACGATGAGTAATGCGTAGTCTATTATCTCGATCCTAGCCAGGCAAGAACACACAGCAAGCAAAATGGGGAAGATAGCCTTGGGTCTATGACTAGCACGGCTGTTGGTATTAATGTCTATATATAATATTCACAAGGCCCCACAGGTGATCTGTAGACTCGACCTGACTGTTTCCTGAACTCGTCAAAAGTATGCACAATGTGGAGTGGTGATTATCCCATGTCATCAAGTATATATGTATATATGTTGAAAGCCTCCGAGGGCCCAATGCAGGAAACGAAGGTGCTGTCAAGATAGCAGCGGAGGTATCATAATCATAAGTCCATGCCATCGCCTGACAGAATGTCAAAGCTGACTGCACGTCTGTCAGTGTTGAGCTGACGACGCTGACATCGTAGCGATGCCGTCAAAAGAAGAAAAACGCCTTCATGTCAATCCCAGATAAGCCAAGCCAACTCCCAATGCAACCGGGGATCGAACCAGTCGACCCGGTGGTGTTCGTGCAGCATGCTGGTGGCCCCAGAGATGGAGATCGAAAGCAAAATATATATGTACTAAGAAAGGAATGGTCCAGCCTCAAAATAGGTCATGCAAAGACCGGTACCCTAGGATTGCCTGTGGCGACTGGCCATCGAACCACATCACATCGATCCGAGCCGTAACAGTGCAGCTGCTGCTGCAGCCCGCTCATCCCCATCATTCATGGCATTATCAGGGGGATTGAACCCAAGCTGTTGAATGGGAAAATTGCGCGGTGCGGATTTTGCTAACGAAGAGGTTGCCGGCCCTCCTCCCCGTAGTTGAGGCGACTTGCCGCTGCCGTAGACAATACCACCCGAGGCGTTGAGCGATCGTGCACGAAGAGCATCAGCCCCTATCTGCGCCCAATCCTCCTCATCTGTCACATCTTCTTCGCCCCAATCCTCGATTGGCATTTCGTCGTCAGGGGCCTCAGAAGATGAGCAGTACTCGCGTTCGTTGCCGTCCAGAGACATCTTGTCAGCCTCGTCTTCCAACATGCTGATTCCGGGACGGCCAAATTCCATCTCGGTTGAATAGGAAAACACGGCGGAATCACCCGCTACGCTGGTGCCATATGGCTGCAGGCTATCCCTCTTGGTGGTGGGAATCTGCATGCCCCGATGGGAGAACGTGTCCGAGGGACTGGAGGGGGGCGACATGTTCATCCGTTGCGAGTCTCTGCGCAACGGTTCGCCACGACGCCGTGCATCCCAGCGACCCCATCCAACCTTCTCGAAGATCACATTGCTTTGAGCGAAAGCGTTTTTCTCGTCGAACCCTCGACCCTCCAGTGCGGCCACAACCAGTCTCCGTGCTTTGGCCGGAGGAACACCCGAGAAGCCAGGAACAGAAGAGGTTAGATAACCCATCAGGTGGCGAATGGCCAAGGGTCCATGCTGCAGCATAATCTCTGGAAGATGGTGTTTGGCCAACATTCCAGGGGTTATAGCTCCGGTGCTATCGAAATCATGGGCAGCGAGGGAGTTCGCCGTAGCATCTCCAAGGTCGACGTCCGAGTCCACGTGCGCGGAAGCAAGCGGAGAGTAACCCGACTGACCGACATCCTCTCGTCTGAAGCCCTGAGGCGGCAAAGTTGGCGATATAGAGTTGGGCGGTGTGGGCAACAAAGCAGGCGCTCCGGGGCGAGTCGAGTCGCGACCAGCCATAGGAAAGCCGGGACGCGGCTTGGGGATGTCAACCGAGGCGGTCTTACCAGCAAGGGCCATAGCGATGCTGGACGTGGTATTCTGGAAAGCCATGATGGGTGTTTCGAACACAGGGAGAGGAATGCTTCTATTCAACCTGGTGGCTAATTATTGATCTGTAATCACATGAGTCAGATCAATGGTCGACCAACCATAGCGCGCAAACCAAACAATGGGAACAATAAATGGAGGGAGATGACTAAAGTTCCAGGCCCCGTACAAACACACCCTCCCACAGCCACAGATTCAGGCTCAAGAATGATTGATGTAAAGAAAAAGGGATGTGGTTGGTAAATCTGGAGGCTTGGGGTCTTTGACTCACAGTAATCCGTTGACAGCAGATCGTGGAGGTGCAGACGCAACGGTGAGCGGACTTAGTATGCAAGCCTGATGCGATGCGACGCGCTAAGAGGGGCGTAGGGTTGGTGTTGATAAGGGGAGGAACGCGACGGGTGGGAGACAAGTAGATCCAGGGGAACAATGTTCACGTTGTTGGCAAGAAACCACGTAGATTCAATGAAAAAAAGTTCCTTGACAATTCAGACAAGAGGAAGAGTTTCGGTCGAAGAAAAGAAAAAAAAAAAAGGAGGAAGGAAAGAAGGAGGAGGGGGAGGGAAAGGAGGAGGGAAGGCAACGCAAGGAGTTTGGTGGTTGCAGTCCGTCAATAATAATAGTAGGTAGGTAAGAAAGCCCACGGGCAGGTAAGAATAGTAAGAATTGCACAATGGAATGTCTTGTCAGCCGGCGCAGCAGCAGCAGCAGCAGCACTGCAAGTCGTGCTAGAAGGAAATGTCCGTTCTATTGCAGATGATACACGGCGGTCAAGTACTCAGGAAGTACCAGTGTTATCGCTTTTGCTCTTCGGGTCATTTGTGCTTCACTTTGTGAAAGGGGAGGGAGGGGGATCTCAAGTGCCAGGGAATGAGAGAAATTGACCAGCCTTAAGAATCCCAGAATCCCAGAATCCCCGAGTGAATGAACTGAGTGTGACCCTCTTATCGTGGGATTTCCTTGGACAAAGCATCCATCCTTTCTCCTCTTTCTCTCAACCCCCCGTCATGCCGCCCCATACCGGCGGACCTTTACGGGGTCCATACGAAGTCGAGTAACTAAGGGTTGAGTCCCATGGCCGGGGCGTGGGCTCGAGGATTGGTGGACACCAGTTGGGCCCGCTTGAAATCGCACCGGGAGGATCCGGGGCCACCAGCCCTGATACCTTACCGCTTGTTGCTGTTCTCGTACCGTATCGGAGGTATGGGCTGTGTACCTCCAAAGTATCGGCCTTATCAAGGTCAAGAAGTCCAAGAAGGTCCAAGGTACACCGTTCTCCGGTGCTAGTCGCACAGAGAAGCAGCAGAACGAACTGACTGACGCTGATGATGATCATGAATATCCCACTAGTCAGTCGATCATCAGCGTGCTCCCCTCCTTCGCCTCCATTGCCCTCTCCGCACTAATCTAGCAGTTTAACAGCTTCAGAGTCCGAACTTCCCAAGAGACTAATGAGTGGTAACCCTGCGATACCCGCCCACTAACCCCTCTACTTCCCAAAAACTCCCAACAATCACTCGCGATGATGTAAATTGGTCTTAAAACATTTCCTTGGTCTCCGGTTCGAGCAAACAGTGTCCACTTTATTCCACCGATCGACGGACATATCAAGGCCGGTACCTCGTGCCCGTGCGCCCCTCTCCCACCCCCCGCGTCTACAATGTACATACAATGTAGGTTCGGCTGGGAAACCTGGTGAGGGCAGGAACCCTACCGTACGTACGGCTTGCCTGGCTGAACTCTGGTAGGCGATAATCTGCCATGGCGACGGCACGTGGGCATCGGGCACTGTACATGCGCCGTCAGATTCTATGCTGACTGGCTGACTGGCTGGCTAGCTGCTTGCCTTGCCCCCCTCCATTAGAAGAGGGGTGGGTGGGTGGGTGGGTGGTTTGCCATCCATCATTGTCGTCAATACTTGTGTAGTATCGAGGTACTCGAAGGTAGTACAGTACCAACCTGAAGAACTTTCCGTTGGTCGAGGTGGCCTCAAAATGTTGGCACCAGGTTTAGCCTGGATCAACGTGATTCTCAAAGGGAATCTTGTTGATTCACGGCCCAGCCCCAAAAAATCTCTCATAGTTGCATGAATTATAACTTTTGTTGGTTCAGAAAGGCCACTGTGCGCTGACTACACAGTTCATCGCCGCGAGCTTAAATGTCAGCTTTTGGGTAGTGGCTGACAGACCCAAGGGTGGAGGCTGATCCAGCCGCAGGATGTCACAAAGATGGGCGGTCTCCATAGGCCTTCATCGGCCCCTTCGTTGTATTCAATGCATTGCAGCTTCTTGCAAGTCTGTGGTTTCTATTGAATCTGCTTTGAATGAAGTATAAGACTTGTCCACTAAATGTACTCGGATTACGACACTTACTCATACAAGACCTGTCATGTAATGTTAGATAGTTAAAAATAGTAGGGCAATAGTTCAGGGGTGGATTTGCATACTACAAGAGGGTCAGACATGTCAATCATCATTCAAACTGGACGACCCTCACGCTAGACTGATACATCCCTCGGCTTGAGATCTATATCAACAAGAGACCACCCATACGGCATGCGTCTGTGACATGCGCTTCCCCTTCATACCTACTGCAAAAAGGGGCAGGTCTGATGCTCACCGACAAAGATATGTGTGTCTTGCAATGCCTTCTGTTGCAAATGAGTTTTAAATTCAGTTTAAGATAGGTAGAATGTCCCTAAGGAACTCAAATGTCACATGTCTTCCGGAGGTTCCTTGGAGGCTGTTGGTTGTTTCATCTCCATCAGCCTCTCAGTTCACGACCAATTCACCTTTCATGTCGTGTTGAGATACATATTCTTCAAGCGAACGCTGGTGTGGTAAGAAGATCGCGTAGGGTAAAGATTTCTCCTTACGTTTAAAGATAATTGTGTGTGAGGATTTAGTGGCGATTGACAAGGTAGCATGGAACAATCACTCAATCAACTCACTATTCGAGCACACATGTACAATAACCAGGTAGGTATTTGTCGGCCAGCAGCTCAACAATCCCAGGCCACGGCAAGGCAAAGTTGCTCGTGCCTTATTATGCCTTATAGGTCAGGCATTAAGCCCCGCTCCCGATGCGAGCGACGTCATCTGACCGGACCGTAATCCGCTTCCGATCTTATCGGCCTCACATCCGAAAAGGCACTTCTCCAACTCATTCCCACCCTTCGGAAATCAATCCGCCTCTCTCCTCTGCGGGGTTAGAGGCCTTCCCCCCTCCGATGCTGTTAACCAAGGACCAGACAGAATACTTTGCCTATCACAATACAATGCTTTAGCAGAGATAATGGACTCTGCCGTTGAATTTGTGCTTGCCGATCGGTCGTTCAGACGTGCATCCACCCGACGGGACAATTCCTCGGAATAGGCCCGGACGACTGAACCCACCGTAACCGTCAAAAAGTAAAGGGCTGCTTTGCTTCTCCTCAATCCAGAAACTCCTTTGCCGAAACGTCGCTTTTTTCTGGCGGACCTTGATCTACATATATCTGGGTCCGTTTCCCCCTCCCTGGAGAGCCCGCGTGGGTTTCTTCTTGCTTTCCCTTATACTGACTTGCGGAAGTACTTGCCGTCTCCAGGAAGCGCAACTCCAACGACATCGGTCTGGATCTCGAGGAGGTCAATCTGAAAATTAGAGAACGAGAGTATGGCGGCTAATTCGGAGAGCGGTGTACAATACTCGCCTGTCCGCGAGGCGGGTCGCATCTTCAACCACCTCTGCGACCAAGCCGAACGTCTCAGCTTGCCCGCGGAAGTAGCGGAGCGCAGGGATGCTGTGTCATTCACGTCCATTCATGACCAGATCTATTACCCGATCCCGTTCAAAGAGACCGAGACATTGGCTGCGTTGAAAGGTGTGGAGGGAGCAGTGGCAGGCGCAATCGCTGATCTGCGGTATGGACCAACCACTCAAGCGCGGAATGTCCAGGTGAGCCTTGAGCGGGCCACTGCATTTGGTTGTCAGGCGTACATGGCCAAGGTGGATGGATTGTCCAAGTTGGATCCGGAAGTGAAGAAGAAGCTGAAAGGTGGGCATTTTGTTACTCCCCGAGGCGCCAGTGTGTCCGTGTGGCTAATTGTCCTAGACACGGACTTACTCGCAGCCCAGTCGAACGGCTACCGTCGGATGTCGGCGAATCTGTACAAGACCAAGAACAAGGACGAATACTTCCACATCCATGGCTCACTCGAGGCTACCACGACGCTGAACATGATTGGACTGGAGGGTCAACGTCCGGATCTGACCGATTATGAGGAGATCATCAAGGTCATCGAGAGCCATGTGCAGAAATACTCCGCGGCGGAGTTAGAGGAGATGAACAAGGAGAGGAGACAGGCCGGTGTGACGGCATTCAAATACGAGGACTTCATCAAAACCCCCCATGTACGGATTCTCGGTCCCTTGAAGAGAACATTCATGCTGACATATATCGCTTAGGGCAAACTCAACGTCCAGGAACCGGCTTGGAAGGTGACCCGTCTGAGCGGCGACCTGCCTCCCACACCATTCCCTGCTAGTCGCAGCGGTAGCAAGAGAATTCTCGAAGGCGTCAAGGTTTTGGAGCTGTGCCGTATCATTGCCGGGCCTACGGTGGCACGCATCTTGTCGGAATATGGTGCCGACGTCCTGAAGATCACCAGTCCCAAGCTGTCTGATGTTCCCTTCTTCCAGGTGGACGGCAACATGGGCAAGCATGCCGCTGACTTGGATCTCAAGTCAGAGGACGGTCGGCGTCAATTTGAAGAGCTTTTGGCTGACGCCGATGTTCTTGTGGACGGATACCGCCCAGGAGCTCTCGAGAAGCTGGGGTACGGACCGGACGCACTTGCCGCATTGGCTGAGAAGCGCGGCAAGGGTATTGTGGTGGTGAACGAGAACTGCTTTGGATACGAGGGTGAATGGGCTGGCCGCCCAGGCTGGCAACAGATTGCCGACTGCGTAAGTTGCCTTGTTCATCGTCCCACATCTTACGATCATAGCTGACCTATGTTACAGGTGAGTGGTATTGCATGGGCACAGGGTGAATTCATGGGTCATTCGGCCCCAATGGTCCCCCCGTTCCCCATCTCCGACTACGGCACCGGGTGTATGGGAGCAATTGCAGCATTGACGGGTCTCTACCACCGCGCTAAGCAGGGCGGCTCGTACCACGGCAAAGCTTCGTTGATGCACTATGATCTGCTGCTATTTGCCGTTGGCAAGTACTCGGACGCCATCCAGGAGCAAATGCGCGCTGCGCAGCCCCCCGAGTTCTTCAAGCTGCGGCACTGCGACAGCGTGGACCGCATCTCCTCGACCGTGCTGAAGATCATGCAGGCCCGATTCCCCCACCTATACGCGGGTCCCGAGCAAGCGGGAGAGGGGGCCCTCACCGAGATCTGGTACTCCAAGGCCTACGGAGGGGACATCGAGATTGTGCGGCCCATCACGGAAATCGACGGTGTGGAGAACAAGTTCATCCGAGCCAGCCGGCCTAATGGCACGGACCGGGCGAGTTGGGAGGATTTCGAGCAGCACGAGGAGGATTTTCGGAAGGTTTAGGTTTGATCTTGGGTAGACGTCTTTGTATATATTTGGAGAAGTAGCAGCATGCATGATTTGATTCTTTTTACGGCAATCCGTTTAGTATATCTGCTTGTATGAGGATGATAGCAACGTATTTTATACTACACCTCCCATCGCGCAATGATCGTAAAGCCCTTAGATTTCTCAATGAATCAGTCGGAAGTCGAACCACGGCAACTGGATAAGTTGTCCGCGGACAATTCTCTTTTTCCAACAGTGTGAATTTGTTTCGAACCATCGGATGCCACCCTCTGCCCATCGGATAGCAGTTCCCCCCTCATCGGCCCGATCACTTTTCAACTTTACTACATAGTTACCTGACATCATCTCCACCACGGACTACTGTTAAGTAAATGATCTAAATTATAACTTGACATATGCACAAAAACCAACCTTATATCGTCAACCAAGTCAAAACACCCACAGTACCCATTCTAATACCACGCCTACAGAACCCCAAACTCCCACAAAAGAAAACCCAAGAAACAATGCCCTACCAAATCGCCTCGCATCCGACCCTCTCCCCGCCGCGCGCCGCGGCGATGCTCTCCTTCCTCGAATCCTTCTACCGCACCAGCGACACCGAATCCGCCCACGACCAATACGTCCGGAGCTTCACGGACGATGCCACGCTGATCATGGGGCCGAAGACGGCGAACGGACGAGATGGTAACCCCTGCCCCCCTGCCACCGCCATTACCCCAATTCCCACCCTACACATCGTCATCCATACACAGAACAGGATACCAGAGTCCTCTCCAAGAAACTGATCTTGACACTCAAGCAACACCGATATCGACGCTGACGCTGACCCAATTGATTAGAGATCCGCACCCTCCGCCACGGCCTCTGGACGCACGTCGCGGCCCGCCAACACACCCCGGAGCGGGTGTATTTCGGCGGGGAGGGCGAGCTCATGCTCTACGGGACGGTCAAGTACGTGCTGCGGAGTGATCCGGGGAATGAGGTCGAGGTGCCCTGGGCGGGGCGTGTGGTGTTTGATGATGATGAGACAGAAGAATTGAGGATGCGGTTTTATCAGGTTTATCTGGTGGGTTGTCCCTCGCTTGATGGATTGTGGTGTGGGGGTTGGGGAATTGATTGGGGCTCGAGACTAACTGGCTTCGTGATTGTAGGATCCTAGTGCGCAGTCGGGGAGGAAGTAGAGGGATTGTACTGTACTGGATCTTGTTGGATTGGGTGGTTGGATCCTTTCATCGTTCCTTGGGGGTTTGGTGCTGAAGGAAAAGGTTGGAATTGGTATGCCATGCTATAGAGGTATCTGGCGAGATTCAAATATCAGTTTGGGCTCGAACTGATTGGTTTACTGCTCGATTCGTTCTACAACCGTGCCAATAAGGGTGGAAGTAAGGGGAGGATTAGGGTGTGTATTGTACATTCATGCATGCAGGGAAGCGAGACAGCAGCAGCGAGAAAAAAGAGGGTAGCATACGGGGTAATGGCTGCGACAGTCTGTAGTCAGTCAGTCAAGAAGCCAGCCCTGGGAAAAAGGTTGCACCACCCGACGGAGTCCAGACTTGGTGGTCTCCTACATGGCTCGAGCGCAGACGCATGGACTATAATTGACCTAACCTGCTATGGCATCAGGGCTGGGCCTATGAATGATTCTCCCCAGACGAATATACACTACAGCTGAATTGCATACAATTATCCCATGGCATTATTTAACCCCCCGGGATAACTAGATCAGATGAAAGCATGAAAGGGAAAAGAACTCGTTCACTTGCAAATGCCCGGCATGAACAACTGAAATTCGAGGGGGGAGATATGTCGAAAAAAAATAAAAACCATCATTCAAAAGTTCATCCTCTCTCTCTAGTTTCCCATTGTTGTCTTTGTCATCTCGAGTACCCTGCCACACGCTGATCATCTTCATCCGAAAATAAATTTCCCATGAAAAAAGTTGGCCTGCCTTGCGCCCTTTCGAAGTCTGCCACACACACGAAGTTATACATGGTCGGACTGGGAGGGTGAAATAAAAGATTGTTGAACCCAAAACCGCCTCTTCCCTTCCCCTAAGTTTCCCACTTTCCTTTTTTACTCCTCTCTAACACGTCGTGAGTCGAAAAGAGTCAAAAGGCGAAAAGAAGTTAGAAAAAGAAAAAGGACGAGGGTAACATCAGGACTTTTTCATTATTTTAAAATCGAAATCCAGCGGGACTAATTTACTCGTCGTCCTCCTCCTCGTCAACGGTGGTCTTGGCGATACGGTCAAGATCACGCTGGCCGCTCTGGGTGATGCGGCGGCCACCCTTCTCCTCATCGGTCTCGAGGACACCGATCTTCTCGAGGGACTGGAGGATCTTGCGGTCGACGGAGCCGGAGGCATCGACGTGGTGGTTGGGGCGGGAACCGCGGTTCTTGACGGAACCGTGGACCTTGCGGAGGCGGCCAACACCGACGGTCTTGCGCATGTAGATGTGACGGGCGACGGCAGCAGCGCGGACGTAGTACCTATAAAGTAGAAAACGGAGACTCGGTCAGATCCTCTGCTAGTGTGCGAGCACGAAAAGTTGATGGAAATGAAGAAAGTCGTACCAGTCGGCATCCTGGGGAGGGAGCTCGTTGGAAGCGGAGGTCTTGACAGTGTCAACCCATCCTAATGGCGAAAACAGGTTAGTTCTCTGATCGAAGTCGTTTGTTTCCTCGCGCAGTTGCGGGAGATATCGGTGATGTGGTGTAGAACGAACCAGGAATGGGGAGCTTTCCCTGACGCTTCAAGAACGCAGAGTAGGCAGCGATGAACTTCTGCGCCTGTATAGTGAAAGATTCGTTAGCCGACCCTTTTTTATCGGTCTTCTCGAACAGCACTCATGGTAGCGAAGCCTGTCGTTGTTCGTGCAGCATTTCAGACAGATATGGCATGGCATAGGCACACTCGGGAAACAGGCGTTTGCGGCGTGATTGATTGCGAAGCTCAAGTCGCAAATCGGGGTTGCTTGTGAAAATTCATATATTGCGAAGAAATATATGGTTGCAAGGTATTGATTTCTCGTCCGATCGCGGAGTTTTCGTTCCATTCCATATCCCTGGCTTTTTCGTCGATTTTCCTGCGGGGTTTTCCGTAGAAAACAATCTTGTTGTCCGATGCACTGTCAATTCGGTTTGATTCCATGCTCCTTCGTTTGTCCTGTCGCATATCGTGTTGCAATAGTCGCTCTGTGCGTCGGTTGTGCTGCCGCTTGTGTGCAATATGCCTTTTTCTGTTCGTCGGGGTGCCCGTGCCATGCCATATCATACCATCCATGCCATCCGACCGACGCCTCCCCCGGAATCATCTTTCATCATATCAAAAGGAAGCGACTTACGTCGACATCGCGAACGGTGACACCACCCATTTTTGCGACTTGTGGACCTCGAACGGGGAAATCGAAGAGGGAGCTGAAGAGAGGGACGAGGTGGGAGGATGGGTCGTCGTTGTCGTCGTTGAGGAGTCGGCAGGTTTCAAGCCTCGAAATTTCGGATTCGCACACAACATTCGCGCTCGTAGTGCCTCTCGGTTGGCTGTGGGCGCTTCGCTTAGCCTGTTCGGGACTAGCCGTACCCTAAGGAGCGGGCTGCCTGAGGCCGACATATCAGACCGGTTGGCCCTGACTGCTGCCCGCATTTCCAGGCAGAAACCCATCTATCATTCCCTTTCCGTTTTAGCGCCGAGTAGAATTGAGCACGTCCCTGAGCGGTTGTGCAGCACCTCCTTCAAGGCCTATCACGACGTGTAGTTAGGCCACCACTGCATAGAAGTGACCTGATCAGAATCTGGAGAGAAGTTTTACGTTTTCAGGAACGAGTGAATCAGCAGGCTTCCATGAGCATACAACATCATGTTTGCTGGTGCCCATGAAGAATTCTTCTCAAAGTTATTGTTACTACAATATGGTAGAACCATTGACGGGCTTGTTCCTGGGAAGCGGGTTGTGTTGTCGTAATTGCTGCTGGACAGATTATCCAAGTACCCGAAATTGATGCTACGTGCTTACCCAGCATATACCCGACCGCCGCTCAGGGACACTGATGTTGCCCATTGCCACCTTATCACTGACCTCTAAAGATCAGTGGCTACATTTTAATAAAATATTGTGAGTACGCCCGTTATTTTCTTGGCTCTGTATGTTGAGGCCTCCTTCCTTCAGACGCGAAGTAACCACCGGGACGCTTCAGGTATCGGCTCTGTTCTCACCCTTTTTGCCAGATTACGCTGCGCATGTGGTGTTAGAACTGATACAGCCGTTCATTGTCCCAGGATCATTGAAACAGTAACAATGAACGCAAAGTCTTTGACTACTTCCTGTAGTATGTTCTCATCTATTCATGGACGGCACATGTTCCAATTGCTTACTCAGAAGTTAATGGGTGGGGTAAGCCAGAAAGAGTTAAAGACATCCATCCAGTGGGCCCTGTAACGGTCACGTGCGGAATCATCAACTGTAAATAAACATTGACATTTGACACCCTCCCACTGAGCAACATATTCAAGCACGCTCGACTCGACATGTCGTTGGAGATTGAAGAGCTTCGGCGCCAGCTAGCAGATGCTGAACAACGGATTTCGGCATCTCACCAGCGGTCGTCCAAAACAAACCTCCCCACATTTCTTGATGGCCTCCACAAGCACCTCTTCCTCGGCCTTCAGGTCCAACCGGACGAGACCCAGTCGTCGCGTGGAGATCCCGCAAATACGACCAACAAACTTCGCCCCAGATACCTCAGGGCCTGGGACACATTGGCAAGTGAACAGGAGGAGATTTGGCGACTCCTGAGGGAATCTTCACTCATTGAAGATTAATTGTTTACTTCTCTTCATACCTTGGAGGAGATGGGCGGAAACATCCGCCGGCAGCTGATTGGATCAGAACTTGACCTGAATCACTTTCTTCGCCAGACCGTTGAGGACCACGTTTCCAAAATCATTGAAGAACTTTATAAGGATCCGGTTCTTAGGCAGGCGTTTGGTTTAAGAGGGTCGATTCGTTTTCAAAACCATTCCGATGCTTTGAGCCCGGAGCAGGAACTAGTAGAAGGGTTGCAGAGCGTGGTTTCTTGTGGTCGCCCTGCACGAAGACGTTCGCCGCGTCTCGCTGAGCGCGAGGAACGTGCATCAAGCGCGGCCACTCGCCAACCAAAAACACCACGGAGAGTCCGAACCACAAGGCCCCGTGCCGATCAGTCTTGCGTTTACAACATTCCGAATGAGATCTCCAAATCTACACATTGCGTCGCTGCCTACATCAAAGAATACAAGTCCCCGCACAAAGTGACGCTGGGCCATATCTACGAGGAGTTGGGGGACATCGACGTTGATGAGGTGATTCTGGAGAAGGCAGATGAACCCTCGAAAGTTCGGTTCCAGCGAGCGCTTCTCGGACTCCTTTCGCAGCCATTCGACTATATGGTTCATGCTCGTACGCAGGTAGGGGTCTTTACCACTGGCGAAGTAGATATCTATTTGCGGATTGGCGAGGACCCTTTCACACTTTTTTACCACCTTTCAGTTCCGAAGGGTGACGTCGGACAGGAAACTGGATGGGATCCTTGTTCAGACCGCCCAAATCGTTTGCATTTGACTGCGGTGGGTCAAGCTCTCGCTTTTACCCTCCAAGCCCTTAGGTTACGTCCCTGGAGCCAGGCTTGGGGACTGCAAGCGACAAATACGTTGCCAACATGGGAAGTTGTACCTGCGGACATTCTAGACGATGTCTCCGATCAGGAAGTGCCTTCTTCCGAATATCGTCCGCCAAAACCTGCCGAATTTCTCCGGTCATCTCCGATACAACCACGTCGCCGGAGACCCAAACTCAGCACGAGTGATTGTCGACCATTACACGTGCATAATAATCGTGATGAGGATGATGACCCCATGCACCGAGCCGGAAACCACGTCTTTCTCGGGACGTTGGACGAAGGCAGCCAGCATCGGCAGGCCAAACATCCACCTCAGCTGGACCAAGTTCCTTTTCCGAGGAGAACCATCGTCGTTACTGCACACTGAAGTGCCTACGCGGGTTGATACATGGAGGGGAACTAGATTAGGCTTGTCCCAATGTTCGTGATCATGGCCAGGGAACAACGCGTCATGTTATCAGTTCAAAAACTTTCGTCTGCAAGTTGCAACGCCAGCTTTCTGAGACTGTCAATGCAGATTGTGAGACCATCGGGATCCACGGCTCTCGAGGCGCCCTCTTGAATGTGACTCTTTCATCGCATGGATACACTGTGCCCGCGACGTGCACCGTGTCGGAATTCCGTGATCGCCACCGACATGAAGCAGCTGTATACGACAAACTTCGTTCAAACCAGGGCATATATATTCCTCTCTACCTCGGAAGCATTGACTTGGCTCATCCTTATAGCTACGACGGGATTGCTTATCTCGAGCATATGATGCTGTTGAGCCCAAGCGGGCAATCTCTGGACCTAGCTCTCACGGAATTGGGCCGAACTTGTCTCGTTTCCAAATTGACTGAGTCTTTGTCAGCGATCCATTCCCGAAATGTTCTTCACAAAGATCCGGCTCCGAGGAATTGGTCGTACAATCCGGAAAGCAAACATGTGGTGTTTTTTGACTATGAAAGAGCTGAGCTTATTGAGCCCCGTCCAATTTTGAGTGAGATGTCACCGAACCGCAAACGCAAAAGGACTGAACATGGTGTTCTGGATTAAAAGCCATCGGGTTCAGGATTCGCAGCGGAAATAAACAAGGCAGCGCATGAATTGCGGTGCTTGTGTGTACGGCCACGGAAATAGCAGAATCAGTCATAATGTGGCCGATGACTGTTGTGATTCGGAGATGGATAGTACTACACACCGGGTCTTTTGGTCCAACCCGAAAGTCATTCGAAACTCAATGAAGGGCAAGTATTAATTATGCAGCCGTATGATCTACCAGACCTCCGACCGGCCGTCCATGTGGTTTCAGAGAGTTGATCTCGAATCGGCCCTCTCGATTCATTAACCCGAACTAGATTCAAGCTTCTCAAATTTGCAACGATTCTAACTCACTTCTAATATAATACTGGATACTTATTCAGTCTAACTAGATGTCGAATGTCAAAAGGAATGCAGTGAGAAAATTGTGGTGTTTGGTGGAGGAAAAGTCACGGCCATGGAAATCCACCGACATGATAACTCAGGCCTGTCGATGCATTACTGCGCCTCCTACCGAACTATTTCACAACTCATCTTCGTTGTGAAGCACCAAATCTACTATGTACTATGCGGCGTTACGTGAGTAATGCACTGACCATAAGTCTGAGTCCCTGCATCCGGTTCTGTTCCAGGCCAATATCCGCTAGCACGAGAAGTTGTCTCGAGAAATCCTCGAGTACTGCCGCGCCAGTTGAGCCTTGAAATAGCACGGCAGTGGACGCCGCGATTCCGGGACGTGTGCATGCAGTGTCCGTTGTTACTTACTGACCAGGATGAAATTGAACTTACCTCTATGGGATCGCAGCTCACCCAACTTGAACGGACACTGGAAGCTGGGAGGCAATGCGAGCCCCTTGACTTGACAAAAATCCCACAACGTATTTTGCAGCCTTGCACATGTACACACTTAAGCACTTGTTGTTTCTGCCGGCCAAAACAATCACCCATGTATATTATGCGGTCTGAAAGGCATGTAAAGAAAAAGCTATGAAGTCTAGTCCGTTGTTGAGAAGGGCCCCCTACACGCGTTTTGGATTGATCCAGCCATGCTATATAGTGCGTGACAGTTAGAAGGAGCCGTTAGAAGCGGTGAAGTGAGTAGTAGACCAAGGCGGTCGATCATCAAGGGTACTAGGATACATATCAGTATGATCCTGGTTAAAACCGAACGCTTACTTTGAGTTACATAGTATAGTTACAGTATGCACTCCACACGGGACTGGGTTGCTATTGGCTAGATGTGGCGGTGCAGAGCATGCATTGACTTCAATTTGTAACTGTGTACCTTACTTTATTCGGCGCCACAACTTGGGGAATGTAATAAGATCTCTCATCGGATGCCTGAGCGCTCATAGTACGCGGCGGCATCCCATTATACTTACTGTGCCTGATTTTATTGTACTTCCCTGCATACTTGTACTTCTGCCCCAAGACGCCTAGCCGAACATTATCCAAACAAAACACTTTGCAATTCGTACTCGTCATTATGTCAGAGCAGGCTACTCTATTATCTTACAGTGTGAAAGAAATCGCCGTAATATACAATCTAATTATGGTAGTCTTGTCATCAATCATCATACCCAGGTCCTAACGCCAGTGCCAATCAATGCGAGTGCCAGTTTCAAATTCACACCAGTTCTTCTCAGAGCGTGGGCGCTCGCTTCAGCCCAACGCAGTATCGCACGAAGAGGGTATCAATAAAGTGTTCGTGTCGGATTCCCGGAGGACGGCGTCGTTCAAACTCCTCGATCGCCGCTTGGACACTGAATCCGCGTCGTTCGATCAGGTAGCAGACGATCAAGAACCCCGTGCGATTGAATCCGTAGTGGCAGTGAACTCCAACCACTGGACGTGGGCCTTCCGGATGGTCTGGTTTCTCCATCATCTCAGTGATCTCATTCTGCAAGCGATCGATCAAGGCAATGAAATCTCGGACCTCATCCGGTGTGGGAGGTATCTTCGACACCGTCGGATGTTTGTGGTAGTGGATACCGCCCTTCTCCATCGATGCTGGGTTGTACACCGGATTCTCATAGCTAATGTCGACCACTGCATAGATGCGGCCACGGTACGTCTGCGAGAATAGGACCGGATTGTGTTCCTCGTCGACTTCACGCAGCATCTTCATGGCCACAAAAGTATCATCAATGCGTTGCGAGACAGGCGTAACCTTTTTCCATTTGGCCAGATTCTTCACATCCCATTTGCCGGAGGTGTTGAGGTATTGTAACTGCCATCCCATGCTGAGACGGTTGTCGATATGCTGGTTAAGAAAGTCTTGGATAATTCCGGCCAATGTGCGATAGGTTGCACGGTCATAGATCAGTGCATGAGATGCTGGCGCCGGAAGGATAACAGTCTTCACAGCACGCTGGTGACCGGTCGCTTCGTCCGTCTTCCTTGTCAGCTTTTTCTCAGCAAATTGCGCCTCAAGCCCGAAACTTTCCTCATGTGCCAGATGGTTGTAGGACGCGGGGGCCTTGTCATTTATTGCGGAGGCATCGGGGATCGGCGCCATGGTATCCGCGCCGTCGCCAACACTACGCCCGCTCTGCCCGAAAAATTCGAGTATCTTCTGAAGCTCGATGGGCTTGTTCACTGCATCGGCCTCGCCAGCCACGAGCAGGACAGGGATTTCAACACCCGCCCACACCGCCTCACCCGGGATACCCCCAACAGGATTACCAGACTTGTCGTAAGTAGGGAGCGTTCCCCAAGCCATCCGCCTCCATACCGGGGTTTTGCTCTGCTTGTTGTAGCGTACCTGGAGCTCCCTCGTATCTGGATCTGCAGCCGCACCAACAAGTCTATTGACACTGCTGCTATGCAAGCCACCACGCCGATCCCAGGAACGCCAAAGGTCAAAGATCGGACCGGGAATCTGAAGTAGGCGACGAAACTTGGCAACGTCATGTGCAGGTGGAGGCGTCGCACGGGGGCAGGCAGCAACGAGACCCAGGATATGCTCCTTCAGACTGGACCCAATCCCAGAGGTGGAAGACGCCAATAGCGCAGACAGGGAGCAGCCCAGACTATGAGCGATCAAAACCACACCTTGCCCTGCATCTTTATCGCGGTGTTGCTCGATGGCTGTTGCCAGCAGCTCTGCCAGCGCCTCAACGGTATATGCATCCCAGGAATCTGGACTGAATGACGACAATCCGCATCCTGGAAGATCTATACCAAAGCAGGGCCCTATGTTCGACAGGCTGGTCAGGAGATGGTTGAACTGTGCCAGAGACCCACCCAGTCCATGTACAAAAACCAATAGCGGAATCGGAGTAGGCTTGGTGGGAAGCTTATCCATCTGCGGATGCGGGCGGTTGAAGGTTCTAATAGACGAATAGGTCGCAACGGATGTTGTATAAGACAGATATGTCGAATGCTTCTTTAACAGACCCGGGTCCGTGTCATGCGCTTTTTCAACCAGTCAATCACCGAAGAGAGAAGCTAGGGTGTTAGTTTACTCACCATTTTCATGCTTTTCAAGATGCTGAGGTGCTTCCCGTTTTTCTAAAATGGTCTCATCGGAGCCGAGGCTCAGGGAGCCAGTACTATCGTAGTCTTCGTCTTCGGATGAAGTCACAGTACCAGCAGAGCGCTTAGAGTAGTCTTTGCGCAGGGAGCGGCGAAAGCGCTTCTTAACTGGGGTTGCTCCCCAGCCCTTTCGCCGCAAAATCGAAGTCACGAAACCACATCCAACCATTGTGACAATGCAGGTAGTAAGAAGCACAATTTTTCCCCAGTTCAGAGTTCCATCATAACGAGAGATCTGAGTAAAATGAGAGAGATAAACGAAAATGCCCGAGCGAGAGAATGTCGAGTAGACCGTGTCCCATGTACGCAAAAGCGCACCACTTTCGACAATACCAGGACGGGATGTAGTAGGGAAAGTCGGTGATACAACTGAAGAATCCATCCCCAACGAAGGCAGCCGCCTCTGCGAGGCTTCCCAGGCTTATATGGCCAATGACCAAGAGAGCTTGTTTCACCCGCTCACCGTCCTTCCAAGCCCCAACGCCCAGTGCCGGGGGTTCCCTGTCGACCAGCGTCCAGGCCAAGAATCGGGTGACGAGGATCCGTTCTGGAATGCGAATCGAACCCCCCACGAGCCAGGAGTACAGCACCTCCTTGGCAGCTAGACTGTGTTTCCGGATCGATAGTGAGGCAAAGACGCGGGCCGATCGAGGCAATCACCGTAAGATGGATCTGCGCTACGGACCTGCGCCGGACTGAAACGGTTGTCTGAGGTAAGGAGCGATTCGAAGCCGTCGTTCTTAGTAACTACTTTAAGTGCGCCCCTAGTCGAATGCACCAATGAGGGATTGATGCCCAACACGTTGGTCTTCTGGCTGGATTTAGACACCCCCAGAGAATCTGACAGCTCCACCGGCCTCTTGATGGAATCAAGCAAGGAGTGGTACTCGTATATCAGGGGCTTCCGATGACGACAATATGCTCAAATCCTGGGCGACGAAACACAAACGAGGACCCGACGGGTCACATGGGACTATTCGTTGTTCCAACGGGTCGCAAGGTATCGATAGGTCTTTACGTCGCAACTGATTATTGGGAGTCGTTAGTCAATGTGCCGAAATGAGTCCAGTGAGCTGTTACACGAGGGCGAAGGCCGTATACAAGCACAGGCTGCAAGGTACCGTGTGGGCAGAAGTGAGGAAAATACCTTGCGTAGACAGCAAAGACGACCAGAATCACAACACCATTTGCCTGATTGCGATCCGAACTTTAACAAGAGGGACCAGATGCACACTAAACCGCGGAGCGGAAATCGGTTCAGGAGGCAAGACGTCCGGAAAGAAACTCGGTTTTCGGCGGAGATCAGTCTTGGAAGTGCCAAACGCAAACGAGCCTGTCAGAGACTCGGAGGCAACACCGTGGAGGAGGATCTGGAATTCTTGTTCGTCGCAAATTTGCCGGCGATGAATCACATCCACTCATGGCGTCACGCCGCATCCCGTGGCCTGACTAAGCATGCTCTTCATGCCTGAGAAAAG